ACTAATTTCTTCTAGATTGTATCAAAATTATATTAGTACCTGCCTAGTTATATTAGTATATGATTTGGCTTTTGACCCAACCAAAAAAAAAAATTATATGATCTGGCTTGATTTGGTCGGTTACTTTACAATTGGTTTCGGTTCTAATACTGGAACTAATAGAGAAACTAGGATGAAGGTGCAAAAACTTGTTAGCCCAAAGAAGATTACAAAAACATCAAAGGTAGAGAGCTGGCTTAATTTAGTTGCCGCAAAACACACTAGTCCATTTTAGTATCAGCTTCTTCAAATGTCTACCACCAATCAGTGTTAATATTTCATGTCAAAGGATTAAGATGACTAGTCTAGTCAATGTCAATGTGACTAGAGATCGAGATCAAGATCAAGCCCACTTTGTCGATAATGCCTCGGTTTACATAACAAGCCTGAAGGTGAGGTTGATACGAGTGCCCTCTGCCTTTGCACGCTTTGGTACGGAATGAATCCAATCCCTTTGCGTGTATCCCCTCATTACCAGCAACGATCCATGCTTCAATGTCAAACTTTGTTGATCATCTCTGCTACTTCTCTTTAACCTCTTCCTCGCTGATCCACCATCCCCTGTTTTCTCTGCGGGATCACACCAAACAAACGTTTGTTCTTGGTTTTTTCCAGAAAAATGCTCATTTAATGGTGCGACTTAAAAAGGCTCCCATACCAAGGGAAGATTCTTCGTGTTTCTTTTTCTTCAACACAAAATCACGTTCGCATCCAAACGAGACTGAAGCAATTTCGGGAGTTGGACCATATAGCTTTTCATCATCTGCATGCCAACCCACATAGTCATTGGCCCCTTTGTACCTATTTAAAAGCAAGCTGTTGAATCTGCTTCCAGGAAGCGCTTGGTAAATCTGACAAAACAAAAAAGATTAACGTTTTTTCCAACAACTATTGGTACAAAGGAGACACTGAGCATGGGGGTTTCAATCTTACAGCATCCAGAATCTCCTTAAGAGGTGGGAAATCATCCCAAGAATAGGCATTAGGTCGATATCCACTATAAACCAGCGCGGTCAATCCGCTACTTGCAATGTAGCAAGTATCTCTCGGCTACAAGTGGCAAATGCATATGATTAGAGAGCCACAAACATAAATTATAAAGGATTTTGTGATTGTGGCTTCATTTTCTCAGACACAAGTTGAATCCAAAGCATGGAACTGGCTATGGCGATCCTTGTTCCTTAATTTGCACAAAACTCAACTGAACCCACCAGGCACACGGTTAAGCTTCAATGGATCATATGAATTCCAAAAAAATTGACAGAGAAAGGAATTGGGAGAAACCTGGAGGCAAGATCGACCAAAGATGCGAATGGTGGGCCTGGTCCAAGGAATATGGTTGTCGAGATAATCAAAGAAATTCCAAGATCGTTGAAAAGGAAGAAACCTCTGAATGTAGATGAGATTGCTTCCACTGCCGAGATCGATGATTCTCCTAATGGGAGAATCGTGAGTTGAAGGAGGCTCCAGCGCCACAATCGATGTCAAACTCATCCTCCGCTACACAGCAAACGCACAAGATAATTCTGAGATTTTCCAAACTCAGTAACCCATCATTTATAGAGACTCACTCCACCAAAAGCTCATAAACAGTTGCCTTGGTGCTTGAAGGAGAGTTTGGCTATCAACAAGCTGAATCTTAGGGAGCTTATCTTTACTATATATGCAGAACTGGAAGTACAATGATAAAAGTACCTGATATTGATGGCAATGGAATCCTGTCTTGTAACTTGAATCAACTTTACCATTTTCAGGGATTATGTCACCACCAGACATTTCTTCCAGCTTGTGCCCAGAACAGTTTTCCCTGTAAGAAACACTAAAAGCGAATAGAAACATGAAATCATTTTTTTCTAACGACAAAACACATTGAAGAGCCGATTAAACCTAATTTCTTCTTCTATTTTTGGCTGAAGATATAATAAACTAGGGAATCAAACGAAACGAAACCTTAAAGCAGAAGAATCGAATTTAACATGAACGAATTCAACATTTCACCAGTAAAATTTCTTCTTCCCAATATAGAAAGCAGTTGGCATGAAAAGAGATGAAATCACGGAAGAATTACTTCTTATGAAACGATTCGGCTTCCTCATTGCTGATTCCATCAGACGGCTGAAATCAGAACGGAATCGTCATTCGTCGGAACATAATCGAAACCGAATCAAAGGAACGATGATTTCTCGTCGGAAAAACGCACCTGGTGAGAGCGAATAGCGGCGGAGGAAGAGTCCGGAAGAAGATCGGCGGTGGAATAATGCGGAATGTTTGTTTCCTCCATAACTCTCTGATTCTAACTAGAGTGGCGTTTGGGAGTGTGTGTGGGAAGAAAAATGGTAACCGAGAAAAATGGCGTTTGGGGAGTTCGAGTGTGTGTGTGAAGAAAAATGGTAACCGAGAATAACCATATTCAACTAAACCGAGATGTTGAAACCAAATCAAACCGAAGGTTTTTTATAGTCCCACATTTGGTTCCGAGTAGTGGTAAAACCGATAAAAATGTAAATTTTGAAGTGACACAAACCGAATCTTCGTCTGAAGGTCGCTGCCGGAATAGCTCGAATCCCAGAGCCACTGGACCCGCCAGATCCATCGGATCCTGTCCGCTTGGTAGTCACTGGCGACATTATAATGGTATTCTCTCGATTCTTACATTCTGATTCTAAATGTGATTGCAGTTTCGAGGAATGGTTAGGATTAGTAAAGATGGATCCGAGTTTCATTGCCTTAGTCCCGATTGTTTCGGTTGAATTGGGTCTTATGGTTGCCTTTGTGCAATTCCTTACTGCATTATGCAGAATATTTCTCCCTACTGCAGTATGCAGGTTTCTACTATTGTGTCATTCATTGGCAAGCTTATCGCCGATGTGCGATGCTTCAATTGGGCCATCCGGTGAGAATCTTATCGCTTTTATGCGACACCCTACTGCAGTATGCAGGTTTCAATATGTCATCACCTTGACGGACCTTGATGTCTTCGTGATGGAGGCTTGTTTCCTCCTATACTCTTCTCTTGTGATTTGGAGAATTAGTTTAGGGAGCTCGTCGAATTTGTTTCTACTTGATGTAGAGACGATCACAATCAAACCTGCAATTTTAGCCGCTTCAACTATAGAGATCCGACACCTCAATGTGTTCACCGTTTCTCTTTCTCTTGTCAAGCTTCTCAACTTTAGAGATGTTGTCAATGAGCCGTAAAGCATCCTACATGACATCTTTTGTCTATTCGGACCATTTTCTTCTATCTTTATCTTTCATGTAACTTGCACGGCATATGTGTTAGCCGAGTTTTTATTTATGTCTACTTTGTTAGACTTTGAAATTTACTCCATGGATGGAGGAGTTTGAGTAATCTATAAAATCTTGGTTTGATAAAAAAAAAAACTGACACAAACCGAAAGAATTTACTAAAATTTTACAGTATATTTTATACATAATCAGATGATATAAATATAATTTCATCATTATTGTTTGGTATTTTAAACTATCTAATTATTAAACTGAACCGATTCCAAACCAAATCAAATAATGTTTGTTATTAAATCGAATTGAAACTAAACCACTTCACAGAATTTCGATTGTTATGAAACCAAAATAAATAAAAAACATACATGATCCAAAGTTAAACACGATTGTTGTATGCAAGTGTGTAGCCAAGAAAAGGAAAAAGGGAAAAAATCATAAAAAATATCCTAATTGTTATAGTATGAAGAGAGAATAG